TGCAAGACATCACCCACCCAGCCATCGCTATCCTAGTTCATTTAATTAACTTGGATGTTAAATATTTTGAATGAATTTCCTGACTGTACTCTTCAGATATAATAATGTCTCTTCATTTAAAACACTTGGCCAATTAAAACAGACATGGAAGAAATACCCGCTAATTACATACCCACTTCATTGTGACGCCACACTTCAGCTCTGATGGGTAAAATCAGGTTGAAGGGCTCTCTGCTGCTGGGTTCTGTTTCCTGCTCCTGCCATTGTCGAATGCTGTGCTCTCCCTCAGCTCATGGCATACTTAGGCAGGGCACATATTCGGGTGACAAATTACATTTGAAAGCTTTGTCAGACCCTTATCTTCCAAAGACTTTTTTTTAGGAAAGCATAGTAAATACTAATGGTAACTGAGATGGATTTTAGATTGGGCATATGGCAACTGTTAACGACCTATTGTGCTTTAGGAAGCATTGTAATACTGTGACATTGGGAGGCTATGTCCCAATATTCAGTAAGAAAGGAGGTGAAGATACAAAATTTTGTTTCAAGTTTCTGTCTTCTCCGTGGGTGTCACATTGAGTGAAGTTATGGTGTTGGCTCCTAGCCATTGATAAGCTCCACATCAGAGGGTAGTGAGGCATCTGAGTGACAGTTTGCCTACAAGTGGGCATGTGCAGATGTCAAAGCTGTGCAGCCAGCATGTTGGGAATTTTAAATAATAACAAAAACCACTGCAAATACTTAGCAGAGCTGACAGCACCTATGAAGAGAGAAAAACAGAATGCATGTTTTAAGTCAATGACATTTCATTACATTTGAAGAAATTCAGAAAGGTAAACATGGGGGTCTGGCAGAAAAATGGAACAAAAAGGTAAAGCTGGGGTAAAAGATACAAAGATGAAATGATAAAAGGATTAGTGGTGCAAGCTCGAAGGGAAAGGAATGGGACAGATAAAGAATCAAGAGTTGTCTGGAAGAGGTGTGAATGGCAGAATGATGAACAGCCTCAAGCTGAGAGGAAAAACATGATAGTGAATTGGAAACCTACAAAGAAAAGGAAACATAAAACATAGAAACTTGGAGCAGGAAAAGGCCCTTTGTTCCTTTTGAGCCTGCTCCACCATTCATAATGGCCGTGGCTGATTGTCTACCTCAAATGGCAGCAGAGGTTGGAGTCTGAAATTGTTCAAGTCAGTGTCGAGTCCAGAAGGCAATAAGTAGCTAATCAAAGGAGCAGGTGCTATTCCTTGAGCTTGTGTTCAGTTTCATTGGAGCACTGTAGGAGGCTGTGGAAAAACAGGTCAAGGTGTCAGGGAAAGTGGATATCCGGGAGCTCAAAGTCATGTTTGTAAACTGAAAGCAAAGTGCTAATGCAATCTCCACAGATCTCCCCTTCATACAGCAGGTTTTAGTGTGGGCAGCTATTACAGCAATTGTCTGTGTGAATGTAGCCAGTTGGAAAAGATTGGGAGTGGTTGGAAACTGAGCCTCTCTTGATGGAAAAAAAATTGGAGTGTTCTAAGGGGTTGTTGGGATTGTTAAGGGATTGAGGTCTGTGGGAAAGAGGAGATGGTTTGGGCCAGGAATCTGGAAATTATTAAAACAATGGAGCACCCTGAAAGATTCATAGATGTAGGTGCAAGAAAATGGACAAAGGAAGAAAAGGGAGTTGAAACAAAATAAATTAGCTCAATAGGATAGGAACAGACTGAAATAGTAATTCCAACAGAATGGTTGCGTTTGTGGATCTAGGAATGGAAATGGAAGCTGTGCTGGTCAGGGTCATGAGACTTTGAGGTTGGAGGTGATGACTGTTTCCCCCAGAGGCCCTACCAGCCTCTTGTATTCAATATGTCATCCACTAGCATTCCTGCCTAACCAATGCAATACCATCACCAAATACATCTTCCCTCCTCTCCGATTTCAGCATTCTGAAGAGACTTGGATCCCTGGCACCCAGGACCATCCCCAAGATCCTCCTTTTCTACCCACGGCACGTCAGAGGAGATGTGAAACCTCCTCTTTCACCTACCCCCTCCTCGTTATCCACATGAGCACCTGAGTCGGGAGCAGAAATAGGCCATTTGGCCCTTCAGGCCTTCTCTGCCGTTCCAACAAGGTCATGACAGATCTGTTTGTGTTCCCAATTCCACATCCATATCCAGCCTCGATAACCTATGATTATCCTGTTTATTATGAATTAACATGACTATTCAGTGACTGACATCCACAACTTTCTCGGGCAGAGGGTTCCAAAGTCCGCACAACCCTCTGAGAAGAAACAAATTGCCTCCGTGCGATTTGTCTGCACTTCTTTCAGTGTAGCATACTACATTTGCTGCTCACTAAGCAGTCTACTGTATATAGGGGAGACCAAACTTAGTCTGGGTGACAGCTTTGTGAGGCACTACCATCAGTCTGCATAATGGCCCTGAGCTTCTGGTTTCAGTTTGTATAATTTTTAACAAGTGCTTGATATTATTTTAAGACAATGTCAAAGATACTTGGGATGCTGAACCCAGGACTCTATCATGTTCACCATTTTAATGTCTTGAAGCCAATATTACACTCTTGGGGTATGGATATAGATGTCTTAAGTGGCTTCTACCTAGTTTCAGGGTTGAAGATGGTTCCAGTCGTCTTCAACAGAAACAAATAAATCTTAAGACTTGAATCTATTTCCATTTATTACTCATGTTGACATTAATACAATATTATTTACCAACCGCCATAAAATATTCAGTAACTGCTGTGGCTAACACAGCCCATCTTATTCATTTACAGGATGTGGGCATCGCTGGCTAGGCCAGCATTTATTGCCCATCCCTAATTGCCCAGAAGACAGTTAAGATTCAACTACATTGCTGTGGGTCTGGACTTACTTGTAAGCCAGGCCAGATAAGGACAGCAGCTTCCTTCCCTTAAAGGACATTAGTAAAGCAAATGGGTTTCTTCCAACAATTGACATTGGTTTCATGGTCATTATTAGTCTTTTGGTTCTAGATTTTTATTGAATTCAAACTTCATGATCTGCCATATTAGGATTGGAACCCAGGTCCCCAGAACATTACCTGGATCTCTGGATTAATAGTCTTGTGATAATACCATTAGGCCATCACTCCCAGTACTTAATGTACAGTATACTGGTTCACTAAAACTTAGTTTTCATTAAAATTATTGAAGAACATTATTGCATGTTGTCATTTTGGGTAGTTCTTCCCTTCAAATTGTACTCTTTTTATAGTTATCCCTATTTATGGCACATTCCTTAAATGGAAAATAGGATTTAGACTTAGGTAACTCCTTTCATGTCCTCAGGATGTCCAAATCTATTCTACAGTCAATACTTGAGTTTCAAAGCATAGTCAGTGTTGTAAGGTAGAAACAATTTGCACACAGCCAGATCCCACAAATATTAGTGAGTCATATTTTATAGAACAGAATTTGCTGTCAGAAGAACAGTGAGGCAAATAGTACTTGCCATTCTGAAGAAGAGTCATATCAGACTCAAAATATTAACTTTGTTTCTCTCTCCACAGATGCTGCCAGACCTGCTAAGTATCTCCAGTATTCAATTTTTTTCAGATATCCTTAAATATATTAAATAGTGACTTTAGTTAATATGCACAAGGAGATTATATACAACTATTTAAAAGCTGCTGTCTGATTTGTGGCATGGTCAGATTTACTAAGATTATGTTTATTCATTTATTCTTTTATGGGATGTAGGATTTGTTGCTTGATTGAGTAAGTTTAGCAGACTTATTTCCTGAAAAGGCATTAGTGAACCAGATGGTTTTTTACAACAATTGGCAGTGGTTGCATGGTTTTCACCAGGCTAGCATTTTATTCTAGATTTTTGTTAAGTTTAAGTTGCACTGTTGGCTACTGTGCAATTCAACCCCATGTCCCAGAACACCAACCTGACTACAAGCCAGACACATTACCACTAAGCTGTCACCTCTCCACATTTAAGTGGAAGGTTGTGAATCCATGAATTTCCATCCAGCGCTGACTGCAAGCAACCTTCCTCACTGGGATGTCTCCATCTGGAGAATCAGCACTGGGAATGTTGTTGGCGAATAATGCTACGAGAGATCAATGTTATTTCATGAAATTATTGAACTCATTCTGCAAATCGGTTGCAACTATGTTCTGTTCACAAAAATGACCCTGAGCTTCTGCTTGTCTGCCATTTCAACACATCACCGTGTTCCCTGGCCAACATCTCTTTCTCGAGCTTGCTACAGTGCTCCAGCAAATCTGATTGCAAGCTGGAAGAACAACACCTCATTTTTAGTTTGGGAACCTTGCAACCTTTTGAACTCAATACTGAATTCAATAATTTTGAGGCCTGAGCACCCTCTCCCATGTCCTTACCTAACCCCCACACACCAGGCTTTGTCCTCACATGGGCTGCTACCACACACAACCTACTATCAGCCATTAACAGTTCCCATCAGCAGCTATTCATTCTCCCCGGCTGACCTTACACAGTCTTTGTGTGCCCAACTGTTTTTCTCTCTCTCTGGCTCCATATCCACCCATCTTTTACTCCTTTCCACTCCCCCACCCCTTCTGTATCTCATATATACTAACCTTTTCCTAGCTACAATCAATTCTGAAGAAGGGTCACTGGACCCTATAGGTTAATTCTGCTTTCTCTCCACAGATGTTGCCAGACCTGCTGTGTGTTTCCAACAATTTCTGATTTTGTTTCTGATTTCCAACATTGGCAGGCCTTTGCTTTCTCTTATGCTGAATGTTATTTCTTGGTGTCCTTCAGCAATGCCACCGGTTTCAACTTAACGTCTTTCAATATTAAAAGTGAATGGACAGCTGGCCAATTAGCCCAAGTTATTCCAAAGTGTAGCTGCTCCCAAATGATCTGGTCTGATGAGTTAGCTTATCACCCCGACCGGGTGGAAATTGTTATGTGGTCAACAATGGTCCTTTTTCACTGTGCAAGTCTTTGTAACCCTGGTGTTGTTCTCTTTCAGGTTCTCCCTATTATTACAGCACAGCAACCCGAGGGTCAGCACCAGCAACTGCTGCAGCAACCTACGATCGTCACTAGCTGGTGGGGGGTGTGGGGGAGGCATGACCTGCAGGTAGTGAAGAAATTGTGCACTTACAACACATATCAATCAGGTCCGAGGCAACAGGAAATGTGTGAAGCTCAGAAGCTCAAATGTGAACTTCCTGCAGGATAATCAAACTGGCTTTCGAGAGACTGCTGCCAAACATTTGTTCTGTTCGTTGTAGAATGATGGAAACTGCTGACTTTGGACCCACACCGATAGTTAACCAGGCAATCGATGGAGTGCATCCAGTTAGTAACAATGAAAGACTGCTCAAGTTTCTCTTTGAATTAGGAAAAATGTGTTTTTTTTAAAATGAGGGTAATATTTTAGTCCATGTCATTTTTTTTTTCTGAGAATGATTCCAAAATGAGAAGTAGCGAAGAGCTGCCTTTATTTAAAACCCATGATTTGGATTACTGAATCACTGTACTTGCGAGTATTTGAAGACTGATATGGGGAAGAAACAAACTGTAGAATACTTACACACTGCATCATAGCACAGAAGCCTCAACCTTAACCCTTTGTGTCCTACAACAGCATCTGCTTTTAAAACAACTTCTTAAAACATTTATTGCCTCTGAAAAATTTCAGAGGATATTGCATTTGGGTCAATCCAGTTTGTGAATTCTAACTTATCAAATGCCATGTTTAAATTGAAACACTGTTGCATTAGTGTTGCAATATGATTTTTATTTTAAATTGAGGTCTTTCCGCACCCTGGGTTTAGAAGGCACTGAATCATAACTGGTCCTGTGCTGATGATTGAAGGCACACAGGACAACCATTGAAAATTGAATAGGTTCTGAACATTTGAGTTTGCTGTAAACTGGCCACACACTTCTGTAGTATCCATAAGCTCGGTGTGATATGGGAATTGCTCAGTAGCAGCTTCATTTTGAAAGGAGACCTCTGTGTCTGTGTGTGCTCTCTCTCATACCCAACACTGAAGAGTTTGATGTTAATAGGGAGGTGACAGGGATGCAAGGTTATTGATGACAGTAACTCAGTAACACTCATAAGCAGCAGGAAGACAAAATCATCTCCAAGCATTAGTCATGGGCCACAAACAGAGATCATTTTTCTTTATTCATTCATGGGCTGGCTAGACCAGCATTTACTGCCTGTCCCTAATTACCCCAGAAGTCAGTTACAAGTCACCCCACATTCCTATGGATCAGAGTCACATGTAGGTCAAATCAGGATAGGATGGCAGATTTCCTTCCCTAAAGGACGTCTGAACCAGATGAGTTTTTCCGACAATTGACAATGGACATTAGACTCTTAATTCCAGACTTTTTTCAAAGTTGAAACTTCCAATTTCTACCCATCTGCCATGGCAGGATTCAAACCCGTGTTCCCAGAACATTACCAGGTCTCTGGATTAATACTCCAGCAATAATACTACTGGGCCATTACCTCCCCTTGTGGAAGATACTCATAGCTTGGAGCCATGGGTTGGGATATGCTTCGAGGTTGGTGTCACGACTGGAGGGTGTGGGATTTGTACTGAGGGGTTAGAGTAATGATTGGGTGTTGTGAGATTGATGCTGAGTGGTTAGGACTACATTACAATAATATGGGTGTCTGTGGTTGGAGAAAGCCAAGCCTTTAGCTTGTTAAAAGTCCACTTCATTCCTTTGGATGTCCTGCTGTCTTACTGTTTAAACAAGAGGATAAAGCTGGAAAGGTGTGGGGTTGGTGGCAGTAGCTCACACCGCCAGGCTTTGCCAGATGGGGGCAGTTAAAATTGGGGCCTTAATGTTTAACTCTCTGAGATTTGCATTTCATTTTCAGGAACTTAAGGAAATATTTTTAAAGTGTTTATTTATTCAGATAATGCGGAATTTTGACATTTTTATCTAAATACTGTTAAATTCTCAGCACTAGAATCCCATAGTGTGGGTTGACTGATGGGAGCCTGTGTGTGTCTTCTTTACGTGGAGTGATTGAGATGTGGATGTTGTGGAGTAGGTGAGACAAATGGCACAAATGTATTTACAAGGAATTTGGATAAACGCCTAAGGGCAAAAGCAGTAGGACAGTATAGTAATGGAGTAGATGACATATGTGGAAAGAGGGTTGCATGGAATATAGCCATCAGCACAGGTCGGTGAGTCTGAATTGACTGTTTTTGTGCTGTACATTCTGCACTGTGCAACCTGTGTGTGTGTGTGTGTGTGTGTGTGTGTGTGTGTTTTGTAAAATACTGGAAAGGAACCCCATTCTCCCAAATAAATGTCAGACATAGACCTGGATCCATAAAATGCAGCCTGCTGTTCCTGAGTTAACATTTTACTTTATTTCTCTTTGTGAAGCTCGGACATTGGTTTCGTGCAGTCAGTAATTGTGTTGCCACCGTTCTGTATTCTAGTTCATGCATAAATTCTCTGGGTTGATAAAATTACTTTAAAAAGTGTTTTGTTTCAAAAAATAGCCCTTAAATAGTTTACTCTTTCGCGTAACATATACAATGTGGAGGTGAGAATGGGGCTGTCTGAGTAAAAGACCAAGTTGAAACCCTTGGGGAGAAACACACTTGCCCTTCACTAAACGTGGACTGGTTTTGGGTTGTAAGAACTGTGGGTGAAGATAGAAGATATTCCCACTGCTCGCAATGTTCACTGAGCTGGACTCTTCTGTAGAAGGAAATAGAACTGAAAATAAATGATGGGGATCATCTTGTCCATCAAACTGGCTCCATACAATTGGTATGTTTGAAGCTTCATGACTAGACATCCAACCAGCAACGCCACCACCACCCCTCTCCCCATCCCCGTCGGATCCCAGCTACCTATCCCACCAGTGATATGAACCCCTGGAGAGGAAAAAAAGTGACAAAAACAGAAGGACATTTAAGGGGAAAAAAATCTACAAAATATCTTTTGGATATCCTTAACTAATTGGAATAGCCCTGGAGAACACATTCAGCATGTGTATATTGTCACAAACCCTATAGGAACTGATAACTTTTGAACAGAAAATACAGTTAATAGCTGAAAGAATGACTTGTCAAGTTTTCATGTTTTCAGCAAGTCGCTGTAACAAATGGCTAAAGACACTATTAACTGAACACTATCATTTTAGGTAATTATGCTTTAAACCACTGAATGGGATACCTCTACAACTACTACTTAGTCCAACAGAGAAAACACCCACCAAAAGGTATTCTTTATACTCCATTCAGTTTTCCCAGAATTAATCCAAAGTGATTCTTAACATCTGAGGATTTATTCCCTTTTCTGTTTCTTTAAGTCTGAGAACAGTGAGGTTTCTTCTCTGAGACTCATTCTCTCACCAAAGCTGGGCAACTCTCCCAGTCTAGTTTTAACTCCTCACAAAATATGGTCTTTAATCTTAGCAAAAATTTTCACTTGCATTCCTGTGTAGTGAACCATATTTTGGCCCTCTCTCATATGCAGGCGGTCTCAAAATACTGTGGTATTCAATTATACTTTCTGCAACCTGATCATTAGCATATTTCCCAGTATTAATGTGAATCATATGGGTCTTCTGTCTAGGTAGAAATGCTAATTAGCTATCCTTGAGAGCCCAATTCTCCTCCATCTTGCAACTAAAAGACCAGCTTAAAATGTAAGGTTACATGTTAAACTATTTTGGGGGGACTGGGCTGGAGACTTTGTCTCTACTGTTGGTACACAGACTGCTGCATGTCTTCAAGCATGAAAATCCAGCACTTCCTTCCCTCAAACCAATCTAAGCCCTCCTGTGATCTCTAGTTATCAAGCCACCTACACTTATTGTCAGTCAGACTTTTGAATGGTTAATCTGACTCCCTTAATTTTACTGAAAATTTAAAGAAACAGTTCCAATAAGAACAATCTTATAAGCCTCACAATTTTAGCAATATTAACTGGTGGTACTCTCTGCCAAGGTTAGAACTGGCCCAACTCATTTTCTGAATGTTGGTTGTGTTGCCATTGTGTTATCAGATGTCTCCTTTCTCTCAGTTGTTGGATAATGGCTTGGAAACTGCTCCTCCTTATCTGTGGTGGAAACGTTGGCCATTTGACCCCACTCTCATGCTAGCTCTGACTGGCAAACTACAGCCAGTGAGAATGAGGTAAAAGATAAGGCAGATTTCCATAACAAACTCAAAGTAGCATTTAAATAGTTAGCAAATATGTGAGGTGTTATCAGTGAACTTCTGGGCAGCTTGTGCCAATTATTAATTTACTGATACTGTACATGCAGTTAGCCAACATAACTTTGTTCACATAAATAGCAGTCCTGTCATTTAAAGAGTGAAATATCTTATCATCCACTTTGTAAGCAGTGCTGAAGATCAATTCTTACAAATATTTTGTCATCAACCTGTTCAGAGATGTTATGACACATCTCTGGAGCAGGTAAGACTTGAACCTCCTGGCTCAGAGGTAGGGACACTATCACTGTGCCACAAGACCCCTCGAGATCATTTCCAACAGGCATCTGCTTCAGTAGTCTGCAGTTGATTGCACAGGAAACTTCTGATCAAACTTTCAGTCAGTGCACAGCCTTAAGGATGAAACAAGTAGCACATGGAATAACTTTAACCTAACTTGCCAGTGGGAGACTGAAATGTTGCACCCTGGATTTGTACATTACCAGATCTCACACTCCTTTAATTTCAATGCAGTAATCTCAGGTGAGGTGTAAGACCAGTGCTTCATGGGGTACCGTCAGTTTCCACATGGATGAGTTGGGTAAAATTGCCTCTGCAGAATTTCAATGATTGTCACTGTTTCCTATAAAATTATGAGAAGTTCTTCTGAAGCAAAATTAAAATGAACCGTCAGTGTCCTTAAGCAATCTTGCTCCTGAGCAGCAACAGCTAGTATACTTTTCCCTGCTGACAAACGTTTAGATTGTAGAATCGCTATAGTGTGGAAGCAGGCCATTGGGCCCATCGAGTTCACACCAACCCTCCAAAGAGCATCCCACCCAGACCCACCCCCTACCCTAGTCACTATGGGCAACTTAGCATGGCCAATCC